GTTCATGTGGTAGTCTACTTTCCTCCTCAGAATGTTGCCTCTGTTGTTCGTCTGGCAAGGATGAAGGAGATCCGTCCGCGGTTGCAGCAAGTGCACGCCCAACCATCCATGTGTGACATGCTAGGAGAGGAGGATGTGGTGGGAGATGTCATCAGGGATGGTCCGCGAATGAGAGACACATACTTCCAATGACAGCTTCCTGAAAAAATTGAATACACACGGCATGTTAAGCGAGCAGGAAGCAGGCTGTCGTTCGCAGCTACGTAAGTATGGCACGTCAAGGCCACATAGGCATACCACACAGGTAATAAGGGGCGCGGAGGGAACGAGTGCACGGCAATGGGTCACCATTTTTTGCCGCAAAGCCTGACAATGACACATCCTTTCATAGTGTTCGGAGCAGCCTTGTGCTCGGTAATCGAGCTGTAGCTGTGGAGAGACAAAATGGTATGACACAGTCACCATCCTCTGGAGTGGGCCCTTCACTATCCGTGGTAGAATCTATCCAATTTACACCGGGAAGAAATGCTGCCTTGGCCTGTACAGGGGAGGAGGGAGAGATTCAGCCGGATTGTTCTCCGGAAGCTGTAGAGCTTGCGTGTCGACATCTACATAATGTTCCCAATTGCCCGGCACGTGTTCGTGTATGTGTGTACGTGTGTATGTGTTCTCATGTTTGCCAAACTGTCCCGTCGGACTTTCACCAACTCCTCATCAGTCCGGGGTCTATGATCCGGAGTGGCCTTGCAAGGGCATTGCAGGCTGCACAGGGTTCCAGGTTGTTGATCATAGGCAGCTCCGCAAAAGATGCGAGGGTATTGCAGGCTGCACAGGACTTGCAAGGGTATTGCAGGCTGCAAAGGGCATCCGGTTGCAGGTCACTTCTCCCTAGACAGCTGTCACCAGCTGACATTACTGTTTGTGCAGACGAGCAAGACTCGATCTGATGGTGCAAGAAATGCGCTGAGAGGCTAGCATTATTCCCTTCTTTTCCCAATCCTGGAAATCCCGGCGGCCCGAAAACCCAGCAGGGAATTATTTCCCAATACTACAATTCGCACGACTCGATCTTGTGCAAGAAATGGTCAGTGCCTGCTACGCTATTAGGTGGGGTGAAAGGCATTCATCTTCTGGCTCCGAAGGGTCCAACGTGCGAAGAAATGCGCTGCGAAGGGTCCAACGTGCGGTGACCATATGGAAAACATAAGTCTACATGTACCCGCAATACTGTTTGTGCAGACGAGCAAGACTTGATCTGATGGTGCAAGAAATGCCCAGGAAATCCCGGCGGCCCGAAAACCCAGCAGGGAATTATTTCCCCCCCCCACGAAGGCGGGGTTTTGCTGCGGTACCCCAGAGGACCCTGAATCTGCAATAAAAAAGTAAGCTTGGGGGGGGG